AAGTATCTCTTAGCTCTGAGATCCGATTTGATATTAATTTATTCGTGGATATAATTACATTTATTCGATATTTTAATGCTTAATGACGATAGATTAGAAGAAACATCAGTGTTTGGAGTATCGGGCAAATATATATCGGGCAATGATGCTTGACCTTAAAAAAATATCAGTGTAGGATATACCAGGCAAATGTATACCGGGCAGTTGCACTTGCCCTTAAAAACATCAGTATAGGCTATACCGGGCAATTGCACTTGACCACAAAAAAACATCAGTGTAGGGTAAACCGGGCAAATGTATACCGTGCAATGGCACTTAACTAGACCTAGCATAACTAGACCTTTGGTAAAAGTCCGAAATATATACTAGGTCTAGTTAAGTGCATTAAGTCCCGGTATACATTTGCCAGGTATATCCAACACTGATGTTTTATTAAGGTCAAGTGCCACTGCCCGGTGTACATTTGCCCGGTATATCCTACACTGAACTACACTACACTGATATTTTTTAAAGTCAAGTATCATTGCACGGTATATATTTGCCCGATACTCCAAACACTGATGTTTCTTCTAATCTACTGTCAGTAAGTATCAAAATATTGAATAAATGTAATTATATCCACGAATAAATTAATATCAAATTGGATGTAATAAATATTTCGGACATTCACCAAAGCAACTATGTGATTGTCATCATTCACCGGTGAAAGTCAGCAACCACCGATTTCGGTTATTCACCGTAACATTCACATCATTTACATATTAACTTCATCAGGACGTTTATTTCATAATTTGCCTAAATAGCATCCGGCATTATATATAATGCCTAGGCAGTATATATAATGCCTAGGCAGTATATATAATGCCTAAGCAATACTTCTCATATTGCAATACTTTTAGCTAATACTTCTCATATTTCATACTTTGTCTAAAAACGTCAGGCATTATATATAATGCCAGAATTTCATACTTTGCCGGTAACATATAAATTAAAAAACATGCTATTCCTGGAAAAAATTATTGAGAATTTCGTATTGAAAATTTGAGAAAAAGTATTTTGTGAAAGTTATACTTTCGCTCTGTGAATTAAAGGAAAGAATTTTTTTTTATCTGGAGAAAAAAAAATTTACAATATGTGATATGGAAACTTTTATTACTTTTTTTTATTGTAGTTTGTTTTGCAAGAAGATGCGTGATTGTTGCTAGACAACAATTGTTATTTTTTTAGCTAACAATTACATTGATCTACGTCAACAACTGTCATAATATGTTATTTTCGAAATCGTGTGCTTGTGACTCGAAGAACGTAATAAGCATAAAATGAAAACAGAGAGCTAAAAATTTCTTTTATAACATGAACAATATTATACTATTCCACATTTATCGATATTCAAATTGATCATTTCATATAATTTGCAATTCAAATGCTTGGAGCAAAATAATGATAATCCATAATTTGAAATATTTCAGTGAGCAAAATCACCATAATTTTTATGAAGACAAAAAAATGTTTTTGCGTGTTGTGTGCCATTATCTAGACCAGAACTCCTAGTGGTCCGTCAAAAATATTAAAGTGGTAGTAAGATATCTTTAAAAGCATTGGATTTAAAAACCATTTAAATTTACTCAATTTTTACTCTAACGATATCATATTTCTAATTATGTGTTTGAGTTTGCAGTGGGATACCTGCAAGGGACGTAGTGTGAGTATCTCGATCCTGATTGGTTGTTGAAACATGGCATTTGTTTACTTTAGCAACTGTTCCTAACAGTCTAATTCGAGTTATCCAAGCCCGTCAAGTATCAATTCTCTTAAGTGACATACTCTATATTCTTACACGAAGATTCTTCCACGAAGATTTCAATTCTTTCAATACATATTTCTAACTTAAGGCAAAGACAGCCATGAAACCATGTAGAACATAAACAAATTAATTATGCATCGAAGTTGCCTGGTACATAAAGCAAAAATATATCACAGTTAAATTAAAATACATAAACAAATAAATAAATCTAAGTTAAGCAAAAGCGACGCCTTCTACAACTGAAAGCCTCCACACGGTTTTTTATAAGTAGTCCGATCAGACCACTGTGAAGGAATCTTAGTTACCGAACGAGTAATTTAATATAGAATATAGTTATAATAAGAAAGTGGTAGCAAATATATGACTA